CAACTATGATAATAAGTATTTCCTTAGTAATTAACAATAAATTTGCCCACTAATTCACTAACCAAAACGTTTTAGAATAAACATGAAAATGTATTCTGGTTTATTAGTTTGATGATTCATCTATGTCAAGTATCTAAAAGTATTGTTAGCGGATCGATATCGGCCATGTCATTGCTTTTTATTGAATCGATACCTACTTATCGATGGAAAATTCCAGCATGTTGATGTTTTTTTACTGCGATTCTCTAATTTGACCAGAAGGTGGCGCCAAACTCCACAAACAGCCCGCCTCTCAGGCTCTTCACGGTTATGTATAAACAACCTCCATGTTCTGGTACAACCGACGGCACCTCGGTCCACCTGAGGAGCTCTCTGCGCCGTCCGAGTGAAAACCACCTGAAGGTTGTAGAATTGGAGCCATGTTTGTGGACTGACGGCCTGAAGAAGGACTTGTTGAAGAGATGAGTGGGAGGCTGGAGGAGAGGAGGCTCGGTGGATGCTGAGGAGAAGCTGGACTCATCTTCATCCTCCCATCTTCATCCCACAGAAGGTAAAGGAGTCAACATGGCTGCCGAGCAGCTCGGCGTGTTGCTACAGTCTTTTTAGATGATTAAACTGCTGGCTGCTGTTTGTTTTATTTCAGTCTCAAGCTGATAAACTTTTGTATCATGGGTTTATTTACTGTTTACAGGGGCGGAGCTAGAGTTTTATTCTAGGGGGGCACAAGGTTTGTTAAGGAGGGTAAAGATAAGTAAAAGAAACTCTTTCTCAAACCTGGTGCTAAATGAATTCTTGACAACTTTTATAACCCTGAGCAAATTTTAGCTGTATATGAATTCAGTGGTTTAAAAACGTTATTGTTTCCTTCATCGCTGACAGCTCCTCTCCAGTGACACATAATGACTCTGTACTCCTCATTTACTCTAATCACACGTGTACTCACCAAGTATACTGTAAATACTCTAAATACTCAGGTGGACATTTTTCTACTAACCCGTCCAAAATGATCAATTGTGAAAAAAAAAAGAGAGCTTTGATGTCCTTTTCAGGGATGCCACCGAGCCATTGGTTCAGATGTGTTGACGACATTAAAGCCCAGGAAGTCCAACATTTCACTGATCACATCAATTCTGTGGATGAATATATTAAGTTCACACAAGAGGATGTAAAAAATGGCAGGTTGGCGTTCCTGGATTGCGATGTCTCGGTTTCGGATGGAGGACGGTTGGDAACTGGCGTRTATCGTAAGCCCACCCACACAGACCAATATTTGCGTTTTGACTCCCACCACCCACTGGAACACAAGTTAGGAGTGATCAGGACTCTGTACCACAGAGCAGACAGTGTCCCTACAAACCCAGGAGCCAGGCAGAAAGAGAAATCACACACACGACAGGCCCTGGAGCAGTGTGGTTATCCTGACTGGGCTTTCCTGAAAGCAGACAGGAAACACAGACAGGATTCCATGACACCTTCAGGTGAAAATGAAGACCCCAAACCCAGACCCAAACCAGTGGTTATTCCGTATGTTGCRGGTGTTTCGGAGAAACTGAGATGTTTATTTTCTAAACATGATGTCCCAGTAGCTTTCAAACCCCAAAACACATTACGGCAAAGGCTGGTTCACCCCAAAGATTCGGTGCCCCGGCACAAACAGAGTGATGTTGTATATGCTGTTAAGTGCCAGGAGGACTGCGACCAGTTATACATCGGGGAAACAAAGCAGCCACTGTTCAAAAGAATGTCCCAACACAGACGAGCTACATCTAATGGCCAGAACTCTGCAGTTTTCACTCATTTACAGGCCAGCGGTCACTCTTTCAGGGATGAGGATGTTCTCATTCTTGATAGGGAGGAACGTTGGTTTGAGAGAGGAGTAAAAGAAGCCATTTTTGTGAAGAAAGACCGTCCGTCATTAAACAGAGGTGGAGGCCTCCGTTTTCAGTTGTCCCCCTCCTACAGTGCTGCTATTGCCAGTATCACTCCACCCCCTGTTAACAAAAGGTATTAATTAGGGTGAACGATAGCCATGTGATGTGAGTATCAGTCACATGGAGGCAGGGCTTAAAAGCCTGAATTTTGCCTGAAACTCTCAGACGGAAGAAGTCTCTTGGAGGAGAGACGAAACGTTTCATTAGAGAAGAACCCGTCCAGAAGACCTACACAATTTTTTTCTTTTTGATTTTTTACCTGGATTACTGAGATGCATCAGGACATCCATTCATTTTCATTGAGATAAAATAGCCAAAAAACGCTAAATAGCATATTTATTTCTGAAATACCTGAAGTTATAGCACTCTTCCTATAAATGAGCTGAATATTTTCATACCTGAATTTCTCAAAATGCTCAAAAACTGAAATATATTAAAAAATGGATTATCTCAATAGTGTCAATACATACAGCATACAGCGTTCACATAATAAAATAACTTTCTTTAAGCAATAACTATTATGAGAATAAATCTATAATATTATGAGAACTCCTTCACAGTGAAGCAGTCTTATCACTGCATTACTTTAAATGAGAAATGTTGAGCATCTTGTGAAGTTATACTTTACACTTAATCTTCTAACACATCAGCATCAAATTATTGTAGCAGGACTATGTCTATTTTAAAGTGTCTAACTCTGACCACTAGGGGGCAAAAGATAAACAACAGAAGTTGTTCCAATATAGCACATCTTTTAATGCCACACGTCTGTCAATTGGAGTAGCCAATCAGGTTTGTTCATTTCCTTTTTCCTCTCATTCAGATTAGATGGCGTTCATGTCCCGGTTCTCTCGGTCCCGGAGCAGCTCCAGGTCTCCGAGCAGAAAAGAGTCGGAGCGAGGATCTCCAACCCTGACGGTGTCGGAGCTGGAGAGGCTCCTGTACGCGGGTAAAACCGCCTGTAACCACGCCGACGAAGTGTGGCCACGCCTCTACATCGGAGACCAGTGAGGCTGAGGCAGTTTTTACCAGTTATATTTTAATAATAATCTTTGTTTTACAGCAACACATCTTCAAAAACTTGTTCCAGGTCCACACTTCTCTGATGCAGTTATTTTGAATTTCCACCTGAAATATGTAAGAGGTGACGTGTCAGTAATCAGTTCGACTGACAGCGTCATAACACTGTTTTCTCCACAGAAACATTGCATCAGATCGGCGGGAGCTGGCCCGGCTCGGCATCACACACATCCTGAACTGTGCGCAGAGTAAGTGGCGTGGCGGAGCCGAGTATTATGCAGGAATGAACATCACGTATCACGGGATAGAGGCTCACGACTCCCCGACCTTCGACATGAGCGTCAATTTTTATCCTGCTGCAGAGTTCATTCACAAAGCCCTCTCCAGTGGAGGTACGTCTTTCTGTGAGCCTGCTTTGAATTAAAGATGGTTACTGAGCTGAGACTACTGGAGAATAGATGAAGACTCTGTTTATGGCTTTGAGTCAGGAGAAAATGAAACAATTCTCTGCTGCTTAATTCAGAGGCTGCAGCCCACGTAGGACACATTTGTTTGCCACTTGTGTCACTGTAGGCTGTTCATAGATGCCTATTCATGCAGCCGACAAAACCCTAAAACATCTGAGTATCCTACACGACCGACGATATCCCAGGATTCATTGCGCCGACAGCAAACTAAACAGAAAAACGAAGACGGCAGATGCTTTATTTTATGATTTGGTTTGGAAATGAATCACAAACGGGAAAATTTGTTTTTAAATGTATGTTTAGCAACTTAACCGAGGACATTTTTGCTGCAATGAAATGTTAAATAAAATGCAGTTAAAAATCCTGATGCTGAAGCTAAACTCAGATTAGTAATGCTTTTAATTTACCGTATTTATTCAAGTATAATATGTAAAATTAAATCCATAAAATCATCCATAAAGTTGGGGGGTAGTACTATACTGGAATAAATATTTTTACTTGTGTATTTTAAC